GGAGAGAAAGCCTGCTTGAAAAATTATCAATTGCTTGCAGGGAAGTGGAAGGACAAACGAGATGTTTTCATCCTGTCTTCCATTCACGCAGGCATAACCATCCAAATTTCCACAGCAGCTGGTGTTGTTGAGAAAACCCTCTGTGTCCACAACTAAAACCTTAACATGGAAAGGGTCGACTTTAAGGACCAGATGATGAAGCTGTACTTAGTTTTCCGTAAAGCCAGACACTGGTAGAAAAAAGTGTCTGTATATTTATTTCAATTGGCTCTGTACAACGATTTTGTGCTTTACAAAGCAACTGGACAAAGTGGATCCTTCCTAAAATTTCAGGAAGAGATCATCACAGTCCTTTTGTATCCAGTAAGGGCTGTGGCCCAAACACCAAACCCAGATGCAGTGAGCTGGCTGGAAGAGAGGCATTTTTCTGATGCCATTCCTGGTACACCAACCCAAAAGTCACCTCAAAAAGATGTCTTGTCTGTAGCAGACACGGAATTAGGCATGACACCCACTTTTTTTGTCCCTCCTGTCCTGACCAACCTGGTCTCTGCCTCAAGGGCTGCTTCTGTTGCTACCACACACTAGTTATACAGGGTCTTGAAAGATGTTAGGTAGCCAGGAAACTGGCTACTGCATTTTGAGATACCCGAAAATCTGGAATGTTTAAGTTATTTAAAAAAAGTTAAAAAGAGATAATAAAATTTAAAAAAACATAAAAAAATAAAAAAGTAAAATAAAAATAATAAAAAAAAACCCCACAAAAAATATTTGTCGTATTATTGAGTTACTGTTCTATTGTTACTGTTTTATTGTTAATCATTATTGTTTTCTTTGCAGGAATGCCATTCAGCTGCAGTACTGATTTGTTTATTCTGACAGCAACAGGGTGTTATCTCAGAATATACGTCACTGTGTACAGCGCTGCTGGTTGAAATTTTTCATCCGCAGTTAAAAAAGAACATATATGCCCAATCATGGGGGCCTGGGGTGATTAGTGGGTGGATCGCTCCTATGCTTCGGCATATATTTAAAATCAATGTGAATAGAGGAATCTGTTAGGTACTTCGTTCACGGGGCTGAATGAAATAAAAGAACATTTCTTGTGTGCCCACCATTAGAAGTGGGTGGATGCAGGGTGGTATATTCTAATGGTGGGCATACCACACACTTTTCTGGCACAGATTTCTTCCCTTTTTTTCATTCAGCCCACAGGCTGCATTAAAAAAAGAACATAGCGTATATGCCCAACAAGGACCAGCAACATACTGGTACATCACTGGACTTTGAGGGGCTATACCTGGATGATGCTTGCAGCTGCAGGCATCGTCCTGGTATAATTTTTTTTTAGCCGGTGGGCAGCTTCCATGTAAAAGCAATCCTAGTGGCTAATTAACTGCAGGATTGCTGTAACAAGCAGCGGGAGGAGATGCCCCCCCCCCCCGCTGCCTTCCATGTATGGCTTTCTCAGGCTGTCCCGTTCCATCGGGAAGAACCTGAGAATGCAGCCGGAGTTTCTGCCAGCTGACCATAGAGCTGATTGGAGACCAGAATGGCTTCAATCATCTATGTAGTCTAAGAAACTGGAAGCTACGAGCATGTCATCACTTTGGTATAAACAGTATAAACAGTGCCATTTTTAAATTGGCAAAGCGTCTGATCACACCGATCTTGATGAGATAAGATGATTTAAGGACAGAGGAGATATCTAGAGTCAAATAGACCTCAGGTTTCTCAGAAAAGAGTACCTGTCACTGCCTATTGCTATCACAGGGGATATTTACATTCCCTGTGATAACAATAAAAGTGATAAAAAAAATGAGAGGGACAGTGTAAAAATAAAAAAAACTTAAAGCACCCTCATCCCCCCGTGCTTGCGCACAATTACATATGCCAGCATCGGTCAGGTGTTGGTTTATAGACAGCAGTTGCATCATGCATATCGCGAGCGTCAGATTGAGGGCAGTAATTCTAGCACTAGACCTCCTGTGTAAATATAAAGTGGTAGCCTGTAAAGGCTTTCAATGTGTCGCCTATGGATATTAAAAATATATGCAGTTTGTCGCCATTGCATGGGGCGTGTGCAGTTTTAAAGCATGTCATGTTTTGTATCTATTTACTCAGCATAGCATCATCTTTTATATTTCACCAACAAATTGGCCAATATATTGTGTTCTTGTGCATTACAATTACAAAAGTGTATTTTTTTCAAATAATTGAAAAATCGCTGTGCAAGTACTGTGGTACATACATAATTTCAACACCTACCATTATATTTTCAAGGGTGTCTGCTTAAAAAATATATAATGTTTGGGGGTTCAAAGTAATTTTCTAACAAAAAATACTGATTTTTTTCATGTGAACAAAAAGTGTCAGAAAAGGCTTGGTGTTCAAGTGGTTAGAAAAGTGAGTGATGTGTGGCATAAGCTTCTAATGCTGGGCATAAAATTCCAAGATAACAACACCCACTCCCCCAAATGACCCCTTTTTGGAAAGTAGTCACCCCAAACTATTTGCTGAGAGGCATGTTGAGTCAAAAGAAGAACTTATTTTTTACCACAAGTTTTTGGAAAATTAAAAAAAAAATGTTTTTACATAAAGCTGTCACCTAAATGATATATTGCTTACACATGCCATAGGTATATGTGGAATTACTTCCCAAAATACATTTTGCTACTTCTCCCGAGTATGAGGATACCACATGTGAGAGACTTTTTGGCAGTCTAGTTGCCTACGGGACCCCAAAATACAATAAGCACCTTCAGACTTTTACAGTATAGGGCTTTATTTCCTGATTACACTTCCTGACTACCTATCACAGTTTCAGAGGCCCTGAAATGCCAGAATAGTACAACCCCCCCCCCTCCCCAATTGACCCCTTTTTGGAAAGTAAGAGACATGGTGAGTATTTTGCAGATCACATTTATTGTTGCCACAGGTTTTTGAAAAATAAAGAAAGAAAACAAAAAAATATGTTTTCTTTTTTTTTTATATTTCAAGACCTTTTGAGAAAAAATAAGATCTGCAAAATACTCACTATACCTCTTATTAAATTCCTTGGGGTGTCTGATTTCCAAAAAGGGGTCATTTGGGGGTGTTTGTACTGCCCTGGCATTTTAGCACCTCAACAAATGTAATAGGAAGTCAGTAAGTAAAAGCTGTGTATCTATGCCATAGTTTGTAGACATTATAACTTTCACACAAACCAATTATTATACACTTATTGGGATTTTTATTTTACCAAAGACATGTAGCAAAATAAATTTATGATGAAAGTTGAGTTTATTGCATTTTTTTATAACAGAAATTAAAAAATATCTTTTTTTTTTTCAAAATTTTCGGTCTTTTTTTGTATATAGTGCAAAAAATAAAAAAACCCAGATGTGATCAAAAACCACCAAAAGAAAGCTCTATTTATGTTAAAAAAGGACATATATTTCATTTTGGTACAGCATTGCATGACAGCACAATTACCAGTTAAAATAGCACAGAGCCGAATAGCAAAAAAAAACGGCCTGGTCAGGAAGGGGGTAAATCTTCCAGAGGGCAAGTGGTTAATACTGATTTAAAATTCATGTTTAGGTAAAAATTTCCAGCCCCCACTCCCTATATTCTAGCCTACTCTAAGCTATCCCCTCCCCACACACACACACACCTAGGTGCCAACTGATTTCTCCATAAAGATGGCAACCACCATACATTTGAATAGTCCTTACCAGGGCGGACTGACCATTCAAGAACTCGGGCACTGCCCGAGGGCCCAGGGTCAGTAGGGGGCCCCATGAGATGCCCCTGGTACCTTTCATTGGCTTTTTCATAGGCTTTTTTGGGTGTGGGCGAGGACACAGGGGTCCCATGATCCCCTATTGCCCAGGGGCCCCATGATCTATCAGTCCTCCCCTGGTTCTTACCCATACGTTTAGAAGTGAATGGAGGATGTAAGCGCTAAGAGAGGCTGCTATCATCAGAGAAAGGTAAGCAGGTACTTAGGTAGGGTGTGGGGATTATTTTAGAATATATTAGGGGATACTGTAAGTGGAAGCTAGATTTTTTTTTTATCTAAATCTGACCTTGCCCCTTAAAGCAGTCTATGTCAGGGATAGGAGGATCATTATTGAATCCATGGTTGAATTCTATAGCAAAGACCACACAAAACTGGTACTTAGGTTACAGATGGATGCTGATGGCCTGGATCACCATGTGGGTACTTATATTTTCTAGAGATTCTACAGTAGTTGTAGAAACACCTAATCTGAGGTCTGATTATGGAATCTCACCTTTGCTGCAGCAAGAAAAATGCAAATCCTATCTAGGCTTACTTCAGCTTAAAGGAGGGTAAAGTGTCCTCATATGCACCCAGCAGGCCACTTTTGGGTGTAGGTCATTCAACCTTGCACATATTTCTTGATTGTGGAAGGAAACGCAAGCAATACAGATAGTGTGCTTTATCAAAACTGCATTGCCAAAGTCCTGAAAGACAATAGTGTTAACCATTTAGCTATTGCCAGCGATAGCCAAGGAATCTCCATCTTTGGACACTTCATAATTCTCTACCAGAAGAGGTCTCTAGAATATCATGCAGCAAAAAAAAAAAAACTGATGAAACTAAAAATCACCTTTAATTCCTCTAGGAATAATCAGCAACACGCATGTTTAATTCCTTAGGGATATTTCAACTGTGCACGTTGACTTAATAATGTTTGCACACAGCCCGGAGTGTTGGGGATATTACTGAAATTGCCAGAGGTCATCTTTTTCCAAATCTGTGTACGTAGCATGATCTCTAAAATTAAAGGGAATTCTATAGCATTGAACATGTTGATATAAGCACCATGCAGTTTTAAAATTAGCATGTACTTATTTACACTCACCGCTATAGTACAATAACCCAAGGTAACCAGCTAGAATTCATCTTCTACCGGTGAACAATTGAAATATACAGTTCTTCATCTCCATTAAACCATCCCATGGATATATTTGTGAAAATTTTTTCCACTCACCTTGAAGTGTGATCCGATGGTTTTTGATTCCCATTTCTTAAGCAAAACGCACAAACTGACCTACAAAAGCAAAAAGAATATATATGTGACACTAGTGTTTCTGTAATCCCTTTAAAGCAATTGTTGGAAATCTAGATTTCATTTTCAAACTAAACAGGGATCATACTTTACTAGTGTCTGATCTCTTACTTAATAATCATAAACTAGGTACATAATTCGGGACATTTATCAAGCAATTTAGCAACACAATTAGATTGAAATGCAGCTGTAACTTAATTAGCGACATCTATGCAATAGTTTTTCTGCATATTTTTGGCATCTGCATCTTAAAGTGTATGTCACCCCAACACTTCTTATTCCCATATGTGCCTGCTGTACCATGTACTTGTATTAAAAAGTATCCTGTTCTCTCTGTTTTGCTACCTTTGTGTGAAATACCTTGTGATCCTGCCAGTCCCGTTTCCTATTTAATTTTTTTCTTTGCACTCTGCTTAGGAGCACAGCCTGCCTGTACTCCAATGGTCAGACTTGTGCTGACAAATCCCCTTGCCCAGCTCTTCATTGCGAAGAACTGTGTATTACTTTTTCTCTGCCTCCTGCTGACCCCCCCCCCCACCCACACACACACACACCTGGTCTCCACCACCACCACCACCACTCTAAACTCTCTATACAGCTGAAAACAGAGATCACGTGAGCACTTTTACAAAAAAGATTAAAAAAGCATGTATAATGTTTATATATATATACTGTATTTGCATTTGCACAGATGTTTTGCCTTGCATTTCATTTTTAAACTGAATAGGCAAGGGTTCACATATTTTTTAAACCCTGGACAGCAAACAGACAAATTTTCATGATTCAGCAACAGATATAGAAGTGAAGAAGAGACAGATTTTCACTTCAAACAGATGCACAATTAAGAAGTGGTCAGGGTAGATTTTATTTTGTCACAATGCTACTGTAGAGTGTATTAATGAAGCTGAACTCTTAGGCTTGGCTCACTTCTGTGCGGGTGGTGCCTCTGGGAAGGACGTGGTGAAACAAAAAACCTGACAGTGGTTACCCTCTCTTATGCTATCCAAAATGAAAAAAAAAATGACTTTAGTTTTACTTTAAAGGAAATCTGTACCAAGAGAAATATAGGTCTTACTGTTTTCCAAAAGATAGTTCAGCAATGGTTTCCCCTGTATATTTTTCCTAATGCAAGTTATAAGAAGGTTATAACTGAACTACCGATATTCAGTGTAAAAGGTCTGGGCCGTACCATTTTCCAATGTAACACTGGTTTATACAAACATGTTGATATGTTACTTTACTATGTATCCTTTAGCTTGTTAAACCTAAAATTAATAAAAATGTATTGAAGAAAAAAGGTAAGGTTGGGTATCCTGCAATAGCTTATGTCATCTCTTTTGATGAATGTCAGGGCTATAATCTCAAGAGGCTGCTTAGTGCATCATAACAAAGGTGTCCTTGTCCATCATATACTGCTCTTATCCAGACTAGACCAAATACCATACCTGTTTGTAACCGGGTATCATGTGACCACTATGATTGGTAAACAAACATGGAGAGCTTGCTTACTGTTGTGATCTATGATTGGCCCACAGCGATCACATGGTATCTGGCTACCTGTACCTTGCAATTAGCTGTAGCCAGTCACAGATCACAACCAAAGGCAAGCTGTTTATGAATGGGAAACCCATTCATGACAACTAAAGCTACTGCTTATATAGGGATGGCCACTGTATAATTGTATAACCAATAGCAGTGTATAATAAAGTCAACTGACCTCCTTACCGCTGAGTAGTACAGTGTCACCAAAAAAGATTAAAATGTTATAAAAGAAAAAAAAATGTAATTAAAAATTATTTAATTATCTGTTTATTTATTTTATACATACTGTCACCAGTCAGTGTCCCTGGTCACCACCACACCAGTCTTATAATGACGCTGTACTGCAGTGGTGACAGTGTGTAAAAAAAAATGAAATGGTGAAAAAAAAAATTATTTAGTTTCTTTATTTTCAAAAAAAAGTGACAGAAAAATTATAACTCAAAAAAACTCACCATGCCTCTTACTAAATATCTGACTGTCTGTTTTCCAAAATAGGGGGGTATTTGTACTGTCCTGGCATTTTAGGGGCCTCAAGAAATGAGATAGGCCATCAGTACATCAGGATTGAACAATATAATATATACTGTATATTTTGATTGTAGACGCTATAGCTTTCACACAAACCAATTAATATAAACTTATTAGGAATTTTAAGAATACATGTTGGCCTATATTTATGAAGAAATTTGACTTTATTGGATATATTTTCTAGAAAAATGCCGGTTGTTTTTCGTTTAAAAAATAAAAAAAAAACCCAGTTGTGGTCAAATACCACCAAAAGAAAGCACTATTTTTGTAAAAAAAATCTATACATTTCATTTGGGTACAGTGTTGCATGACTGAGCAATTGCCAGTTAAAGTAGCACAGTGCTGAATAGCAAAAAAAATTGCCCTGTACATGAAGGAGGCAAACCCTTTTGAAGCTCAAATGGTTAACTAATGTATGGTATAGAAATATATGCAAGAACAATACAAAGAATTCTGTTGGTAATGAGTTTGGCAAACACAGCAAGAAAAGACACAAATTGTGAACTTTAACGTGAACCTCATTGAAGTTAATGGGAGCTGTATTTTAAAATTCAGTTTTCTTAATTTTCAAAGCTAATAGGCAAGGGATTGGCATATAAAGGTCATAAGGTGCTGGACCCTTAAAGGAACCCTACAAATACAACAAAAACAAAAAACAAAAAACAAAAATAATATATAATATACATTATATTGCCAAAAGTATTGGGACGCCTGCCTTTATACGCACATGAACTTTAATGGCATCCCAGTCTTAATCCATAAGGTTCAATATTGAGTTGGCCCACCCTTTGTAGCTATAACAGCTTCAGCTATTCTGGGAAAGCTGTCCACAAGGTTTAGGAGTGTGTCTATGGGAATGTTTGACCATGCTTCCAGAAGCGCATTTGTAAGATCAGGCACTGATGGTGGATGAGAAGGCCTCGCTCACTGTCTTTGCTCTAATTCATCCCAGAGGTGTTCTGTCGGGTTGAGGTCAGGACTCTGTGTAGGCCAGTCAGATTCCTCCACCCGACACTCGCTCACCCATGTCTTTGTGAACCTTTGCTTTGTGCACTGGTGCTCAGTCATGTTGGAACAGGAAGGGGCCATCCCCAAACTGTTCCCACAAAGTTGGGAGCATAGAATTGTCCAAAATGTCTTGGTATGCTAACGCCTTAAGAGTTCCCTTCACTGGAACTAAGGGGCTAAACTCAACCCCTGAAAAACCCCACACCGTAATCCCCCTCCACCAAACTTTACACTTGGCATCGGATTGCCAGACAGAGAAGCGTGATTCGTCACTCCAGAGAACACGTCTCCACTGCTCTAGAGTTCAATGGTGCTTTACACCACTGCATCAGGCGCTTTGCATTGCACTTGGTGATGTAAGGCTTGGATGCAGCTGCTCGGCCATAGAAACCCATTCCATGAAGCTCTCTATGCACTGTTGTTGTGCTAATCTGAAGGCCACATGAAGTTTGGAGGTCTTTAGCTATTGATTCTGCAGACAGTTGGCGAGCTCTGCGCACTGTGTGCTTCAACATGCGCTGACCCCGCTCTGCCATTTTACGTGGCCTACCACTTCATGGCTGAGTTGCTGTTGTTCCCAGTTACTTCCACTTTGTTATAATACCACTAACAGTTGACCGTAGAATATTTAGTGGCAAGGAAATTTCACGGATGGACTTATTGCACAGGTGGCAACCTATCATGGGATCATCATGGAAGTAACCCATTCTTTTACAAATGTTTGTAGAAGCAGTCTGCATGCCTATGCGCTTGATTTTATACACCTGTGGCCATGGAGGTGATTGGAACAAAATTTTTTGGCAATATAATTATATATATATATATATATAATTTGCTCCACTGCATTTTCTAAATTATTTCTACTTTTTATCCATTAGCATTGAAATGTTTTGTTGCATTTGTTTTGAAATTTGCGCACTGAAAAAAAGTGGTTTCATTTATAAATAACTTTGTTTGGTCCTGACCACTGCAGATTGGGAATATCCCAGAAGAGCAGTTGTCTAGCCATTACAATATAACCCTTGTCAAAGTCTCTGAAATCCTTATGCATGCCCATTTTTTTCAACTTCATTTTTTCAGTATCAACTTCAGGGACACGATATTCACTTGCTACCTAATATATTCCACCCACATTCAGAAGCCATTGTATTGAGATAATCAGTGTTAATCACTTTACCTTATGAGAATGAATCATCAGAATTTTACTTTTCACCCTCAGTTAACCAGCTTCTGACCAACTTAAAAACTTTTAAAACTAACTTAAAAACCAACACAGACCCTAATCCTGCACCCCCACCAACTTATAGACATACTCTCACAAACTTTATCTGTTTTACCTGAGAATTGCAGCAACAGCTTTCCTGCCTCCACAAAGAGCTTTTAAAGACTTCCATGAGAACATCCCCTGATGGTCCTGCAAAACTCCCTGAGCTACAGCTGTCTAACACCCTGCTAGATAGGTTGCTAGTAAAGCTAGGTAAATTTAGTTTTTTTTTTGCTTCACTGTAGTCAGTGGAGCAGTGATTGCTTTGGGTTGTTCTGGGCTATGCAGGTTGCAGGTTTGATTGATTCCCCCTGTTTTCTGGAAGATTCCAGAATATAGTGGGTGAGAGGAGGCAGATAAGCAGCCTGAATGTTTGTGTGGCCTCATCTAATCCCTGGTGGAGGGTGCCTAGAGGGTGGCTGGGGGAGTGTATGAGAAGTTTGTAGCCTGTGGTGGCCCTGTTCTTGTTCAAAAGGAGAAGTTCCAAGCCTGAAGGGCTGCTGCTCTTCTGGGGCAGCCAAGCTGAAAGTTCTACCTGTGCTCATCGATGTCCGAGCTATGGAAGAGTTTGGGGATCTGGTCTGGAAAATTCACTGAGCAATTGTTTGTCTTAT